TCCACATATAATTTGTGGGTGTGTAAACACTGGTGATTTACAGTTGGGTTAAAACTTTCTTAAAACAGGTATATCTTGTATTTGAGCCCAAGACTCTGTTCTGATCTAATCTTACCTTTCTGACAAGTAGCATCTAATATCTTTTATCTGGGTCTCTGCAGCTGCATCATCCATATGGAACATAGCTGTCTTGGTGAGGTCATAGAATATGATGTGTACCATAAGGAAAACAGATTCTAATCTATGTAAGTTCTTGGGAGTGCAGTCCATCACTCACTTATATATTTGTAAAGTCCCTATAACAATGTGGCCCCAATGCTGTTCAGACCCTAATTATTATTAAAGGTGACCTTCAGAAGAGAAGAAAATGGGTTTGTGCTCTTATTTCTTTTTTAAAACTTTATACTGTATAAAGAAGGCATGACAGTGTTTTTCATTGGATATTTTTTGCCTTGAAAAATGATTTTGGTATTTTCCCTGCTTGTGTTTTTACTTTAGAAATTCAGGTCTTGTCTATATTGGAAGATGGTGCGGATAACTGAAGAACTGGTGGGATTATGATACCAGAGATACCACTCAAGCAAAACCTTATTGAGAGGGAAAGTGATATTAGTTCAGATAGTTGATTTAAAGCTCTTTACTTTTTGTTCATGTTAACACTTAACAAACCTTAGGAAGAAAATGTATTTGACAGCAGTTCAGTGCCCCCCAGCAGTTAAAGGCTGAGAGAGTTTGTAGATGGTATCTTCTGAGACTTCCAATAAGTCTTCCAGCAAAACCAGACTTGCCATTCAGGACATTCTGAAGGTTGAAAACAAGCAGGGACAAAACATTTTTCAGGCCTTCTTTATGCATAATAAAGCAGCAAAACAAGTAACAAAAAAGGGTCAAACCCAATTTTTTTCCTTTGCAGGTCACCTTTGAGGGCTTTGTAGCTCAAGACCAGGACTTTGAATTCTTTTATGAAGCAAATGGGGAGCCAGTGGAGTTTTCAAAGCACAGGTGTGTGGTGTATTTGTCAGCCTATATTGCTTAAGAGGCATGCTGGTGCAGTTGTACCAACTTCAGTCTTCAGTTGGCAGTTGCAGTCATCCTCAGTGTGTTCCAATAGGTACAGTTTATTGGCTGTATCTTGACATAAATGCATCTCTTATCTTATATGGCTGTTCTATTTTGGGAAAGTATTGGTTGTTACCATTATTGAGGAATTACTCACAGTACTTTTCTTCAAGGAGATAGAAAGTGATTAAATTAACAGGGAAGTAACTGGAAATTGTCCTAATTCTTCTTTGCACCAGTTTTTCGAAACAAAGAGGACAAAAATAGAAATCATTTGGGATAAATCTAACATTCTGTTATTAAATGAATATGTCCTTCAAACAATATCTAGCCAGTTTTCTCTCCAATGGAAATGATCTGGTATAATAAGGATTTCATTTCTGCAATGACCTTGGGAAGAATATTGCTATTAATTCCAACCAGGTCCTTAAAAACTAAGAACACTGGGCCTGATTCACCATTGTTACACTAGTATAAAAACCAAGTGTAATTCCATTGAAAACATTCTCAGTTGGTGATGTCCATTAAGTTGCTCCAGTTTTACACCAGTGGTGAATCAGGCCTACCATGGTTACTGCCATATTACACACACCTTGATGAAGACTAATAAAAGACATCAAGACAGTGATGATGTCTCAGATAACTGTCAAAATGCAGGTAGCCATTTTTCTTTGCCTTCAACATTCTAAATATAAAAATTGTTATAGAACTTCCCATAGAAAAATAAATTTCAAAACTGAATTATGATTAATCTTCCTTACCTTTCAAGGGCACTGATAACTTGCGCAGAGTCCAAATTGGAGTAGGGGAATGTAGTGTGGTAGGAAAAGAGCACTACCTAATTTCTACTCTTGTATCATCCTCAAAGGGCCCCTTCTAAGCAGTGGCTCCTTGATGCACTTGGACCCTCACAACTTGAAGACCATTAGCCTGAGCTCCAGCTTTTAAAAGGAGGCAGACCCTCTGCAGAAGTTATTAAAAAGAGTTCTTGTGGAGTCCCCCAACTCCAGGCAGCTTCATACTAAGACTTCTGGTATTCACCCTTTTGTGTTCACATTCTGAGTTGGGATAGTGATTATGGGTTCCAGTCAATAGCTTGTAACATAGTCAAGTAATTTTTGGTTCTTGGCAAGGACGCCATGAAGTCTTCACTTCCGTTTCCATTTCCATTCCTCTGGCTGTATGTCAATAATAAGAGCTTCTGATTTTTTGCTTAGAGGCTAGGGCCTGCATTCCATGGGCATATGAAATTCTGGCTTCTAAGCTGGTGTGCTCCCAGCATTTATGGCAGCAGATACCAATGTTGTTTTTTCTTGACACACTTTCAGTGCTCCTGGCCACCTCAGCCATCCAGACAACTGCAGCTTATAGGGAGGAGTAGGGTGATAAGGGCTATTACTTGGGTTCAGAGGGCCTGTAAGAAGACTAACACCATTATGGAGAAACATCCAGACACTGACTATGGCAGACTTTAGCCCAGTTTTTGCGAAAGCAATCCAAAACAGCTGGGCTTAAGTTGATAGTAGTTCATGAATCTACAAGGGCTAAAATTGCCCCCTATTTTGGAAAGCACTGAATAATGGTATAATGGACCCCTCGTGCATCTGAGTTTGCTTCTCAAAGGAGTGAGTGTAAAATGATGTCCAGTGCTTGCTGTTTGTTGTCCCCTGGAGAATCCTACATTTATGACTGTATTGTATATGTAGAAGGAATGAACGGTTACAAATGTACATTAGCTGTTTAGGCTAGAACCTCATGTAATGGCCTATTTTGCTACTTATTAGATTCTTAAAAATTGCTCATTTTTGTAAAATTATGTATAGATATGACAGATGAATTGGTAATTTGCAGTGTTATGGATGTTTAGCATAATACCACGTGCAGACATTCTAAAACATGTGTTAATCATTTACAATACACACAATGAAGGTAATTCAAAAAAGAGTACTGAAGCTTTCTCAGTACATTTGAAAGGTGAATAAAAAAGTGAAAAAATTGATTTTTTTTTTACTTTTTAGTTTAGAAATCAAACACTGAAGAGTAGTATTCCATGTTAGGGTATATGTAGCACTAAATTGTCTTCTTAAATTTTTCTAAAGGCTTAGATGTACACTTTTTTAGTCCAGATGAACTCCAAACAGTCATAGAACTGAACTTGTATATTAGAAATCCTTAAGAAAATGGAATTGTATGTACATATTTAACTTGAAATGACAATACTGATAAATGTGGACAATGCTCCTATAAATATAGCTGGGGATATGTTTTGCTGACTAATGTGTTCATTGAAGTAAAATGTTCCTCTTCCCTAGAAGCAAAAAAATTCAAAAAGTTCTAAATGCATAATTTCAATCGAAAGAACAAAGCTTGAATAATTTTGTTTCTTCTCAGAAACTTGAAATGTTTACTAGCTGATTTCTTGTGAATCTATATTTGCTGGATGAGAGATAAATAATTGATGATGTGTATATTAATTTACAGCTATGTAATATATTTGTATAAACATTATCATAACATTTTATTTTCACTATGGTGGTAATTCTCAAATTTGTAAGGAGGTGGCTTCCTTGGTAATTTCTCCCAAGGGAGTCCAGGCAAGCTCTGGGCAACTAAAAGCACATTCGGAATAATTGTTCTATTTCTTTTTTATTCTGCAGGGAATTTATTTGCTATTTGGGTTATGGGTTGGCAAACTTTTAAAATACACTTTTTACAACTAGCTGTTTCATACATTTTGCTTTTAGTTAAAGCATCCATAGTAAAACTGTGGTTTTGCTATTTTATTAATTATTTTCACATGCATTTAGCAAAAGCAGAGGAGAATCTGTTGAATACCAAGTATTCACTCTGATTCTGCTTTTACTTAATATAGAGTGGAAATGCCCCAACAAGAAAAGCAACCAAAAGGAATAGGCTTCTTTTTCTGAATATTTCTGCTCCAAACTTACTGGTCCTATTAATTTATTAGATCTGTTTTTAAATAAACAGCAAAAAATGGGAAGAAAATTCCTCGTATGGTAAGGTGGCCTTTATGTAATTTAGTGAGGAGACTATCATGACAAATTATAATCATTTAATATTTATATTTTGGTAACACACCAAGATGCCTCATTTGGGAGTGATGATTCATGCTGGGCACTATACAGGCACAGTATGAAACTTAGGACTAGTCTGTACTGGAAAAGGTTTGCCAGTAAAGCAGACCTTCCTAGTGTAGACAGAGCTTATATTGGCTCAAGTGCTTTTTTTTGGTGTAGCTCATACCGGTTCCCTGAACAAAATAAGCTATACCAGCAAAGGCACTTTTTTGCCAGTATAACTGTTTCCATAAAGGCTTTTTCCGGTATAAAATGTTTTTAAAAATAATAATAATAATAATAATCACATTCCTAACTGACATTGCTATACCAGCAAAAGTTTTAAGGGTGGACCAGGCCTTAGACTCTGAGCTTGAGAGAACCACAGTGTGGGTGGAGGAATACAGAGAAGCGGAGGGAGCCGTGTGGGAGCTCCACTGAGTGAGATTGGACCAGACAATCGGCTGCCTTCAGAAGATTATGAGTAATGGTTAAAGCATTGGGCCCAGAGTTTGAGGAAAACCTTCATTCCCTACACCCCGCTGGAATTGTATGTTTGTTTTTACAGCCTTTCACTGCTGGTTGGGTTGTGCCTCACAAGGAGGAAGCTCCCATGGGTGTGTTTAACTTTTAATGTCCAGTTTTCACTGATAAGATAGGCACCTGAGGGGAGGGGGGGGGTTGTGTTCAAATAAACATTTTCTAGTGAAAACAACTATAAAAGATTGCCAAATATATATGGATGTCTTTGCTTTTCAGAGCAGAGACCCCTTCCTTTAAATTAATTTGTGCTCTATTAGACAGTAAAATACCAGTAAAATCTTGAAAATGAATTACTTTTAAACATAGGTTTTCTTTTTTTAGCACTGGCTGGACCATTCTAAACCAATTAAGAAGCAAATAAAAAGTAAGTAACGTGAGTCCACAAGTTTCGTTTATTCCTCCCCTAAGAATTCAGTTTAGAGTATTCGTGAACATGATTGTGAGGCTCCAAATGTTTCTGTAATATAGTGAATATTTCTCAGACAATGGATCCAAGTTAATGGTTGGCTGGCTGGCTAAACTTTTTTTGTATAAAAGCAAGGGTCACAATGAGTAATGGACCAATCTTCAACTCTCTTCTTTAAATATGATTTTTATTTACCACTTTTGTGGATGCCAAAAGTCCCTTCCTCTTTTCTATGGGAAAATCCCTGCCTGGAGTTACTTTGTCATAAACCGGGGGGAGCAAGCATCAGCTTAGGTTGCTGCTAATGGATTCAGCAGCCAAATATCAACTTAGAAAAGCTTATGTGATTTCTCCTAGGTGCCTGTTAATAGTAGTTGGAGGTGTGGGGGAGAGTAGGAGGAAGCACTCCCCTTTCTTGTAACCCCTAAATTAGATTAAATTAGAAATTGGCCTGGAAAAGAAGGAACGGTGGCAGGAGGGACCTGAGGGTTGGCAGTTCCTGTTGGAAACTGCAGAAGTCCTTTGAGTTTCATGTCCAGGTAGCCTCTGCTGCCTCCCCTTGCATCTTTACTGGTGTACTTTCACCTGGTTCAATGTATATAGTTCCTGGATATGTTTGCGTTCCTGTGAGCTGGACTCATGTCATTGATGGCAAGTGGATGCCAAGAGAGGAGGTCCTGAGACCATTATTGACAGGGATTGTTAACTCTTTCCTTTGGGAGAGGGTAAAGATGCCAACCACCCTTAAACTATGATTCAACCCTGGCTCAATAAACTGTCCCTTGAAACATCTGTGTTCATCTGATTTCTACAACTTCATGGATCCCTACTAATCTGGAGTCAGGCCTGGGTATGATATGGAGACAGCAATAGTATCCTGGGGCAATAAATGTCTGCTAGCAATGGATATAGGCCAGGTGTCCATGTTGATTTTATGAGATCTAACAGTTACCGTAGGTATGGCTGATCACAAGATGCTACTGACCAATTTGCAACATCTGGAAGGAGTCGACACAGGTTTTTCTTCAGTGCTTTCTGTTCTTTCCATTCTCAGGGGTCTCAGAGTATTGGAGCTGCTCACCCACTTCTAGTGGCCCTTTCATGCAAGGACTGCAGGACACTATGCTTTCACTCTTACCACTTCTTGTGTGTATGAGGCTAATAGGGTAGATTGTGAAGAAATGTAGGGTCCATTGCCATTGATAGCTCTGGTGCTTGACTTGACCTCGCCTTTTCATGACATCTCAACCTGCTTCTCTGTACTTGGATACATGATCAGCAAGTGCTTATTCTCTGATATGCCAAGGAAAAGGCAAAATGATCCTAGAGGGAAGAATCAAATATTTTCTACACAAAGGCATTTTTAACAGATTTAGTGCCATTGCTTTCACAGTGTCTGGCCCAGTTAGGGGATTGTATGGGAACAAGCTGGCTCAGACCCATACTAGAGAAGGCAGAAACAACTTGATGGGGGTTGTAATAGCTCCATCTCTCAGCACAATATGTCTTTTCCTTGCCAAAGTGGTTTGCATTTTTGGAGAAGTTTGGGTCCTCGATTGTCTTTGGACAGTGGTGCACATGGCTTTATTTTTCTACCACCAGCAGCGGCTAGTGTTAAGAGTCAGTGCCCTGAGGAGGTAGATCTCACCAGTAAACTTTGTCACCTACGGTTTTGACTTCTGAAACACCTCTTCTTGGGGTTACCCTTGAAGACAACTTTAAAGCTTCAACTAGTGCAGCTTTTGGCTGCCCATCTGCCTAGTAGACCAATAGGCCTTCAGAAACTACAGCAGTGATTGTCATCAGATAAGCACCTAGATAGAGAGGTGGTGGATTCTCCATTTCTTAATGTCTTCAAACAAAGACTGGATGCCTTTCTGGAAGATATACTTTAGCCAGATGTGCACCATGATAGCCCAAAACAGCAAAGACGTATTTGCTGAATCTTTTTAGCTGGAGAACTAAGGTGGGGAGGTTACTCTCTCATGTCCATCAGAGCTTGAATTTTTCCAACATTCCCAGGACAGTACAAGGCACATCTTTTTGGACAAACATTTGCTTGACAAATGAGCCATGGCTTAATTACTTATTATATTGGCTGTGGTAGCACACTAAAATGCCCACAACAGGCACATAGTTATTTCTTGTTGTAAGTATTTTTAATTTAAGACACATAGTCAAATGTTACTGTGTTAAGGACACTTTAAAATATAATTATATTGTGTTAAATTTTTCTTGCTCTATGGGATCACCAAACCTGTGTAAACTTCTGCTTTGAATCTTTGTGCATACAGTTGGACCGCCATACACTTTGCATTTTCGAATTAAATATTACTCATCAGAACCGAACAACCTTCACGAGGAGTTTACAAGGTAGGAAATAATTGTGATTGCTAAACTGATGTCTAACAATGGGGTGTATAAGGTATTTGGGGATTAAACTGTGGGGGAGGGAGGAATTTGGGTTATATGTGCTTCCTTGGTAGAATAGGCATCATGTTCAATCTTCTAGTTGGTGTTTTATGACAGTCTACGGACCATACCCTCCTTTCCGTTTTTTGCCCAGACCTGCTGTTTTGGCCTCTCAGGTGCTTTTGGATGGAGGGGCAGATGGACCAGAGCAGTGGTATTTCCCTCCAACTCTCCATGTGTTTTAGGCTTTGTGACTTTGGAAAGGGAGCCATGACTGGGTAGGTAGGAGCTGAACCTGGAGAAGAAGGACTCTCTGCAGCAGTATTGCCTGTCAAACCCATGGTGGGTGGGGGGATAGAGGGGGGTTTCCAATGTATAATATCGACAGCTGGGCTCTGTGCTTTTCTCTGCTGTGAAATGTAGAGGTGATCAAATAAAAGTCAAATGGATCAAAGAGAGACTCAAAAGCAGCAGAATTTTGGGAGGATTGGGAGCAATGCAAACAGCTCAATCTTCTCTACCCCCTCTTCCTCCCTGCCCCCCCCCCCTTGTTCACAGTCTCCCTAAGCTAATGGAAGCTGTTTGGTGACCATTCATCCTGTAGGGACTTCTGTCATTGTGTTGAGGCTGTGGATGACCTGTGGTCTTTGAGAACATTCCGTACTTGTTAAGTGAGGAGCCCTCCATAATTCAGAAGAAATTCTGTATTATGAAAGCGGCGGGGGAGAGGGAAATTGCCTATTTTTGCACTTCCCATTCCTCCCAACTCTTCTGGTCACTTGGTCAAGCCAAATTGTGTCTCTAATTATTTTGTACCCCTTCCTGCTATTGGTTTTCTGTTTCTGACAATTTGGAGCTTCTTGGTGTTTTTTTTTTATTTGCTCTGCATTGCTAATTGGGCCAAGCTGTTTCCACCATGCTCTTTAAAGATTATATTGATCATTTTATAGTGCTTATGGGAAACTTTTAGTCAGCAGACCTCTGTTTACTATTTCCTTATCTGCTGCAGTGATTAAGTACTACTTTGACTGCTGTGTGACAAGAAAATTAAAGAGCTAATTGTAATTGCCCACTTCTTTACTATGAAACTTCCATAGAAGCCTTAATATACATTATCAATTACTGCATAGCAATAAACTGATAAAAGGACACACTTTTTCATACAGTCCATAATTAACCTATGGAACTCACTGCCACTGATATAATTGAGTTCAAGAGTTCAGTAGGATTCCTAAAAGGATTAGACATCTGCATGTATAATGAGAAGATTCATAGTTACATTATGTAGGATGTTATATAAAAAACATTTTAGAATAGATATACACCCTCATACTTCAGGGTTTAAACTGGTGTTAAATTTCCCCAATGGGCAGGTTATTCCATTGTCTATCACAGGATTTCTTTTACGTTCCTCAGCAGCATCTGATGCCAGTCATTTTCAGAGAAAGGGCACTGGACTAAATGGATCTTTGATGTGATCTAGTAAGGCAGTTCCTATAAAGGGCTATAAACTTTATAACTTTATAGTTTGGACTATAAGCTTCTGGAGCTATATAATCCAATCACTGCTAAAAAGGAAAATTGCAGAGGAATCTTAAAAATACTTTAATTGCTAATTCTACTTAGAAAAATATTAGTTTAATTTTCTACATTTTGTTTTTAAGTGCCTTAATTATAATATAATAGTTATCAGCCAGGAAACTTGCATCGTAACAGAGTTTATGAATGAAAACAAATACAGAAGCAATTTGAACACGGCCTTCACATTGTTTATATGCAAGTTATTTTTTCTTTTAAACAGCAAAAGAAGGGCATTTTGAAAATGGAATTGCCTTTGTCATTCTAATTTTTTTTAACGAACCTCCACTCTGGCTAGGTTGTATTTCCCAACATTCTGTAGAGTTAGGTAAGAGACCAGGACAGCAGGTGCAAATTCAGTGCAAGGAAAGAGGGGAAGATTTATAGTGGTAACAAAATGAGCTAATTGAAGAAGAAATTACGCTAGATCTTTGTCCTGTATAAAGATATTTTTAACAGATGCAGATGCCTTTTGAGGCTGTAAAAATAATATGGACACAGTTAATACTTTTATGGGGAAGTGATGACATTTCTTAAAATTTAATGCACCAAGTAAGGCATCTGCTGGCATTTTTGTCTACAGGGCTTCATTAGTTTTAGTCGGAATAACAATGGGTTGTTTCTTTTGAAGAATGTATTTTGCTGCTTGAAGTGGGATACCAGAAATTGAGGTGCAATAGTAGGGTTGCACAGAAAAAGGAAATAACTGTGAGTCAGGTATGGAGAGAGTTGCAATATTCCTCAGGGCAGCAAAGTGGTGGTATTGCTTGGATTATTCCCCCCAAATTTACCAGCATTCATGTTATTTTGAAATCCTGGAGCAAATAGTAGGGACAGGTTTTCTAAGCCCAGATTTCTGGGGTGGTGCACAATTAATTTTACATATACAAATACTGACATGTAAGTGGCAACCCAGGTATCAGCTGTGTATGTAAGTTAGGCATGTGTAAAAACCTGACCCCTACTCTTTTCCCATGAGCTTTTCTACTGCATAGGGCACAGGAAAGCTTCCTAAACATGCCTTTGGTTCCTGTTCCCCTGTCTATTTTGAACTGATTCCGTCTTCTAAATATTGAAAGGTCAGCTCACAATTTCCCAAACACATGAATGTGAAAAATTAGTTTGTTCGTCACAAGGTTCTGGTGACTCACCGTGCCTGATCCTTCCTATTCTGTTCCCAACATGTCTTTCAATTGCAGTAGAGAAATTAATAGAGATGTTTGCTACGCTCTTCTTTTTGAAGACTGGAGACATGCATCATGCTGCTTTGAGCCCAGATGTCTTACTCATTTCATTCACCTCTTAACTCGCCCCTCAGCGGGTGTGGGGGTAGGAGAGGCTGGGCAGCCCCAACCCTTGCCATCCTCTAACCTCAAAGAGGGACACCCTGCTCCAGAAGACCCAAGGCAGGAGCCACTTTGGCTTGGTCTACACTACCACTTATGTCGGTATAACTTATTTCACTTGGGGGTGTGAATAAGCCAGCCCCTGAGTGACGTAAGTTACGCTGACCTAAGTGCTCGTGTAGACAGTGCTATGTCAGTGGGATAGCATCTCCTTCCGACTTAGCTACCACCTCTCATGGAGGTGGATTTATTATACCGATGGGAGAGCTCTCTCCCATCAGTATAGAGCATCTACACCAGATGCGCTACTAGCCCTTAGTGTGAGATTGCTGGGGGGGAGAAGGGGGCAGGAAAGGCCAGGTGAGATGCCCCAGGCAGCAAGGTGGTTGTGATTTTTCCCAACCCACAAACCTTTGTTTTAATAAAAATAAAACAAACAAATCCTCAGGCTTAGGAAAGAGTGACATGTGGATAGGGCATTAGTCTGGGAGACCCAGATTCAGTTACCTGCTCCACCACAGACTCCCTGTGTGGCCTTGGGCAGTCACTTGATCTCTCTGTGCCTCCACATCCCCATCTACAAAATGAGGATCTCTGAGTTAGGGCATTTATTTACAATTAAAGATTGTGAGGCATGTAGGGTATGTCTACACTGCAATGTAAGTCCAGATTTAGTGGGACTTGAGTCAACTGACCTGTGTTAGGGAGCTCTGGACTTGAGCGTCTACATTGTATTTTAACCCTACGTTAAGAACTTTCTAACTCATGCTTGAACCTAGGGCTCTGGTGTCCATACTGCAGTGTGCAGACCCGAGTCAATGTTACCAAATCCCAGAGAACCTAGCACCCGCCCTCCTCCCCCTGATATATGGCCGCTCTAGCCCTAGGACCATGTTGCACTGTGGAAAAACTTCACTGCCCACCCTACACATTACCAGGAAGCAGCTCGCTTTGCAAAAGGCTTGATCGGTTCACTCTCCATTGCAAACCCAGGAGGCTCTCTGATAGTGCGCTTGCAGATCGGTGATCAGAAGAGAATGGGTGAATGCTAAATTGAACATCTGCCAAAAGAGGATGGGGCTTCCATTTTCAATAGAGTGGATTGCAGATTGTTGGGATAGAGAGGAGTAGGGAAATTGTCTGATGGAATTGTGGGATACTCCCAGCTGACTCCAGGGAACAGAGATAACCTGTGCCTGCTGATGGGGTGTTGGGGGGAGGACAAAGTGAAGGCAGCCTGCTTCAGCAGTGATACTGAGCATGTTCAGTCTATGTGGTGAGCATGCTCAGTACAAGCCAAGCAGCAAATCTGGGGGGACATGTGACACCCCTCCCCCCGCGTGCCTCACCTCTGCCTGAGAACCAAATTAAGCAGGGCTGTGGCTACACTGCAAAGCAAAGGGGTTTGGACCCTGGGTCCCAGCTTGACTCAAGCTTGGATCCTCCAGCCCTGCAGGGTCCTGCGATTCTGGGTTCGAGCCCTGGGTTAGCGCAATTGCAGTGTAGACACAAAGGGAGTTATCCCTGAGCTCGGGCTCAAGCACAGCTTGCATTGCAGTGTAGACATACCCCTAGACACTACAGCAATGAGTGCCATATAAGTACCAAAGAAAAAAACTAAATAGGTAGGCCTATCTCCACTCTTCATGGAATCTTTGTTCTTCTCTCATTCAAAGCTCTTTTAATTTTTAAAATAAAGCCATAATTGCCTTTAGACTTCATAGCTCATTTAGGCTGCAATTCAGGACAGCACTTAAGTATGGGCTTATGTCCCATTGGCTTCAGTAGAATTAAGGCTCCATGCTCAAAGTTGAGTACATGCTTTCAGTGCGGTCTTAAATAAGGATGGGTTCCTGAAATGCTGCTTTACGACTTCATCCTGCAATATGTTGAGCAGTTCTGCAAGGTGTAAAATGTTCTGAACTCTCACTGACTTCAATGAGAGTTAAGGGTACTTAGCATCCCACAGGTGTGTGCAGTGCTCTTTATAATTGATCCCGAAGGCTCATATAACTTACAAAATCAGTTTATGGAAATGTCTTGACTAAGAGCGTACTCTTGACAAAGGGATAAGAGCTGAAAAGATGACTCTGTATGCATTTGATTGTTTGCTTATATTTATTTATTTAATGTATTTGTTAGGTACCTGTTTGTATTACAGCTCCGACAAGACATTCTTTCGGGAAAGTAAGTACATTTTTGTTCCTGTAACCTTGCTTAAAGTGTAAGTAAAAGAGCACCACTTTAAGGGTTAAAAGTATTACTTTAAGCCCATAAGCTCTTGCTGATCCTTTCTGTTATTCAAAGATGTGTATAAGGAATTGTAAATTGCATTTGCTGATCCAGTGTTCTCTTGTACGTTTTTTCTTTTTCCATTAGAATACAGAAATGTATACACATACATTAATCATAATCAAATTAATAAAATCTAGTGGAATAAGAACTTTTTCATTTGGCCAGAAGGTAGTAGAAACATATCTATGCATACAATATTATGCAGAGCTTTCTGTGTCATAGCTTTAACAATTCCATTATCCTTAATGGCTATTTGCATGTTACAGACTTAATTGTAAGTGAGCATTATGCTGCAATTAGCCATTGTTAAATATTCAACAATAAAATGCACTCGTACAACATGATTAAAATAAATAAACTTATATGGATCATACTAATCCTATGTATCCTGTTATCTTACATATATTTGAAATTGAAATGAGAAATAGTCAAAATACGACCCTTAAAAGAAACTGAGAAGCCCTGAAAGCTCTTAATTTGAACAATATATGATGGTGAAACTGGACATTGTGTTCTGTATGGAGTGGAAGATGGGAGTGATCAGCAAGAAAGGCTACCTTATTGAGGTCAGAACATGTAGGGATAAAGTGAGAAAGGCCAAAAGCCATGTAGAGTTGGACCTTGCAAAGGGAATTAAAACAAATCGTAAAAGATTCTATAGCCATATAAATAAGAAGAAAACAAAGAAAGAAGAAGTGGGACTGCTAAACACTGAGGATGGAGTGGAGGTTAAGGATAATCTAGGCATGGCCCAATATCTAAACAAATACTTTGTCTCAGTCTTTAATGAGGAGCTTAGGGATAATGGTAGGATGACAAATGGGAACGAGGCTATGGAGGTAGATATTACCACATCCGAGGTAGAAGCCAAACTCGAACAACTTAATGGGACTAAATTGGGGGGCCCAGATAATCTTCATCCAAGAATATTAAAGGAACTGGCACATGAAATTGCAAGCCCATTAGCAAGAATTTTTAATGAATCTGTAAACTCAGGGGTTGTACCATATGACTGGAGAATCGCTAACATAGTTCCTATCTTTAAGAAAGGGAAAAATGTGATCTGGGCAACTACAGGCCTGTTAGTTTGACATCTGTAGTATGCAAGGTCTTGGGAAAAAATTTGAAAGAGAAAGTAGTTAAGGACATTGAGGTCAATGGTAATTGGGAGAAATTACAACATGGTTTTACAAAAGGTAGATCGTGCCAAACCAACCTGATCTCCTTCTTTGAGAAGGTAACAGATTTTTTAGACAAAGGAAAGGCAGTGGATCTAATTTACCTCGATTTCAGTAAGGTATTTGATACGGTTCCACATGGGGAATTATTAGCTAAATTGGAAAAGATGGGGATCAATATGAAAATTGAAAGGTGGATGAGGAACTGGTTAAAGGGGAGACTACAATGAGTCATACTGAAAGGTGAACTGTCAGTCTGGAGGGAGGTTACTAGTGGAGTTCCTCAGGGATTGGTTTTGGGACCAATCTTATTTAATCTTTTTATTTCTAACCTTGGCAGAAAAAGTGGGAATGTGCTAATAAAGTTTGCGGATGACACAAAGCTGGGAGGTATTGCCAATACAGAGAAGGACTGGGATATCATACAGGAAGATCTGGATGACCTTGTAACTGGAGTAATAGTAATAGGATGAAATTTAATAGTGAAAAGTGCAAGGTCATGCATTTAGGGATTAATAACAAGAATTATTGTTATAAGCTGGGGATGCATCAGTTGGAAGTAACCGAGGAGGAGAAGGACCTCGGAGTATTGGTTGATTACAGGATGATTATGAGCCGCCAATGTGATATGGCCGTGAAAAAAGTTAATGCGGTCTTGGGATGCATCAGGCGAGGTATTTCCAGTAGAGATAAGGAGGTGTTAGTACCGTTCTACAAGGCACTGGTGAGACTCATCAGGAATACTGTGTGCAGTTCTGGTCTCCCATGTTTAAGAAGGATGAATTCAAACTGGAACAGGTACAGAGAAGGGCTACTAGGATGATCCAAGGAATGGAAAACCTGTCTTATGAAAGGAGACTCAAAGAGCTTGGCTTGTTTAGCCTAACCAAAAGAAGGCTGAGGGGTGATATGATTGCTCTCTACAAATATATCAGAGGAATAAATACCAGGGAGGGAGAGGAATTATTTAAGCTCAGTACCAATGTGGACACAAGAACAAATGGATATAAACTGGCCATCAGGAAGTTTAGACTTGAAATTAGACAAAGGTTTCTAACCATCAGAGGAGTGAAGTTCTGGAACAGCCTTCCAAGGGAAGTAGTGGGGGCAAAAGACATATCTGGCTTCAAGCCTAAGCTTGATAAATTTATGGAGGGGGTGGTATAATGGGCTAGCCTAATTTTGGCAATTAATTGGTCTTCGACTATTAGTGGTAAATATGCCCAATGGCTTGTGATGGGATGTTAGAGGGGTGGGATCTGAGTTACTACAGAACATTCTTTCCTGGGTGTCTGGCTGGTGAGTCTTGCCCACACGCTCAGGGTTTAGCTGATCGCCATATTTGGGGTCAGGAAGGAATTTTCCTCCAGGGCAGATTGGCAGAGGCCCTGGGGGTTTTTTGCCTTCCTCTGCAGCGTGGGGCACAGGTCACTTATTGGAAGATTCTCTGCATCTTGAAGTCTTTAAACCATGATTTGAGGACTTCAATGGCTCAGACACAGGTTTGATACAGGAGTGGGTGGGTGAGATTCTGTAGCCTGCGTTGTTCAGGAGGTCAGACTAGATGATCATAATGGTCCCTTCTGACCTTAAAGTCATAGAAGAGCAAGAAAAAGATTTGGTTAATAAATAGCTAAACTACAGTAAATATTGTATTTTTTGTTTTTTTAGGACATTAGAAGGTTTCAATCTGAACCAGAAGTTTATTATTTATTACACAATAGAACAAGTGGCACATACAAATGGGAAAATGATTATACTCTGTGTGTAATTAGGGCAAAGAATGTCTTGATCTGTATGATTATTTAAAATGTAATGTGAGCTTGCCATTCTTGTCAGTATGACAGATGCAAGGGAGTGGAAAAAACACTCAATAATAGTGTCAACACTTCTTATTTAAGACACTTAAAAAAATGTTTTTTGCAGCCTCACTCTTTTTGACAAATGTAATTGTGCATTTGTAAGGTAAATATATATATTTATTTATTTTAAAAGTTATAAAGAAAAATATTTAATCTTAGACTGGGGTGTTTCCTAGAATCCATTGTAGGAATACTACCTATTTTCTTCTTCTGGATTAATGTTTTCAGTGTTAGTTTAAACATGATTTATAGTTGAGAATATCATGTTTTCAGTATTAATGAGAAATTACTAAACTAAGAAATTATTAGTTTAATTACTAACTTGTAACTAAACTTAATTAAATGGAAATATTAGTATTTGAATGATCTAAATACCGTGCAATTTAACTGATACTTTGGAGTCAATATTTTATTTTCAGTTAGACTGTTGGAGAACTCTTTTAGATTCTTCTGGAGAAAGGGCTTATATAAAGTATAATTTAAGAAATGTGCATATTTTTATTGCACCTTTAAGACTAACAGAAGTATTGGAGCATAAGCTTTCGTGGGTGAATGCCCACTTCATCAGACGCA